CTGAAGCCAAGAGGTGGGAATTCCACGGATATCTCTCAGGTGGGGTGTCTTCTACTGCCTTCCCAGAGCAGCAGCAGGAATCTCAAATGAAGCAGGGTAGCCAGGACTCAGATACTCCTAAATGGAATATTAGCAGTAACATGAGACAGCTTAACCCACAGAACGACACCACAAGCCCTGCTGAGAAACATCCTGTATACAGCTTCTGTGTCACCCTTCCAATCACATTTGATGGAACAGGAGCCCCCAGCTTTACACAATGTGAAAATTAACCTAACCAAAGATGTGGAAGACCTCTATGATGAAAATTATAAAACATTTTAAGGGAAATAGGACAGGACATTGAAAGATACAGAAATTTTTCATGTTCCTGAAACAATATAATCAACATCATCAAGATGTCTATATTACCAAATTTATTAATCTATTACATAGATTCAATGAGATCCCAATCAAAATTGCAACAACCTTTTTTTTAAAAAAATTTTTAATATCATTTTTATGATACAGTTCCATAGATCCTGGGATTTTCCTTACCCCAACTGGAAGTCCCCTCCCACCACTGAGTTCCCCTATATTATTATTACTATAGTATAGTTCTTCATTAACAGTCTTATGTCCATCATTGTGGGCATGAACAATGGCAGAGTCCAGCATCCTATTGGCACTATATAGTTAACAGTTGCATTGGGAATCCATCCTAGATCTGGAATTAGAGATGCCTACTGCATTGTATCCTCACAGCTGGAGATGATAGTCTCCATTACACAGTTACTGTACATCCCCTTAAATGAAAAGCCACAAAAAAAATTAATAACAGGAAGAAAAATAGAAATTTACAATGCCATGAAGTTCTCAAGAAGTTTTGATAGTTCAACAGTCCTGAATTACTGTCGATTCCACCACTCCAATCGTGATGAAATCTCTCCAGAATCCACTGGCTGCTATGGTCCACCTTAGAGTCTCCATCTGCTCAAATATCCACTGCTAACACTTGGTTGGAATAATTGAGGAATTTGTTCTGTCCTCCATCCTCTGCCATGGTACCAGGTATCATCTGAAGGTTCCAATGTACTGCCATATGCTCCATGTACATTTGGATATGCTGTTAACTGCTGCATGTGAGCCACTGAGGAGGCCCAGCTCTGACACCTGTACTCCACAGTCAGACCATGAAACCTGTAATTTTCTCCATGCTTGGGATTCAGAGTCCAGTGGTTCAGTTGGTAGGGAATTGCCAAAGAAATCTCATCTGAGGCCATTCCAGTCCTGATTCTTGTGTGTGTGTGTGTGTGTGTGTGTGTGTGTGTGTGTGTGTGCGTGTGCATGTGTGTGTGTGCGCGCGCGCACCAATATAGGGTCTGGCAGAGTCTGTCACCCAAATCAGCCTACACACACACTGGTAATTGCACTTTCTGGGTCAGTACTGTCTATAGCCCCATGTTTTACGCAAACTAATGGGTGTTGGAACCCAGCCCGATCCTGCCCACCACATACTTGGCCTTCACGCAAACCAGTGGGAGTTGCAGCCTATTCAGAGCGACTCTGAGTAACCCCCACCAGGCCCACCATCTACCCTGGTTCCTATGCTTGCCAGTATATGTACAGCTGACTGGTTCTATCTGTCCCATATCCCATTCAGCTCTTGTACATGTCAATGGGAATTGAAGCCTAGTTCATCTCAAACAGCTCCACTATCTAGCCCACACTGGTGCCAGCGGGTACCACCATCTGTCTAACTATGCCTATGCCTGACATAGTTTGCCCCCTGCCCATGGCAGCATCTGCCAGCTGATGCTGCAGCAAAGCCCAACCTACTCATATCCACTTTGACTTATGCATGTACCAGAAGGTACAGTTAGCCCAGCCTGGCTTTTCCCGATCCAGCTCACATGTAGGCCAACAGATGTGTGGCGCTGCCTAGCCTGGTCTGGACCCATCTCAGCTCTAATGCTTACCAGTTGAGGTAGTGGTACAGTAGAAGGATCCTGCATCACGCCCGCCCCCCAACCACTGGGTCCATCCCCACCAACCCCCAGGTTTCACATGTGCTGGTTGGGTGCTGTGGCCCAGTCTGGCACAGCCAGCCTCGCCTCAGCATTTGCCAGTGGGTACTATAGCCTGGCTGGGCCTGACCCACCCCTAGTTCCAGCTTGTGCTGGTGGGGGTCTACAGCCTTGCCCAGCCCTGCCAGCTACCTAATGTGGACTGGCTGGTATTGTGTCCAAACCTGGCCTGACCCACACTCCATTCTGGCACTCGGGTTTACAAGCAGTTGATATGAACTGACCCAGCTTGGCCTGTCCCGCTACCTGCATCAAATAGGCTGGTGGGCACCATATTTTGGCCTGATCTGGTCTATTCCCCATCTTGATTCTTGCATTCACCTGCAGGGAGTGTGTCATGACAAAGGAGTTACCCAAGCTCCTTCATCAGGATCTCTCCCAATGCCAGATCTCATGCACACCAGTGGGTCAGCCCTACCTAGTCTACCTCCTATCCTGGCAGGAACAATGGCCTTTCCTGTCCTTCGCCCATTCCAGTTCTTGTTGGGTGCTACAGCCCAACCAAGCCTGGTTTGTACCCAGACACAACTCACACATGGCTCAGCAGGGGCAGAGACCTAGCCTAGCCTGCCCTACACCTACCCTGGTTCTTACGATGCACCATTGGGTACTAGAGTCTAGCCCCGTCCAGCTCATTCCATACCCAGCACACACTCATGCTGAGGGATCCTCCAGCCATATCCAGACTAGACTGCAGCCCCCACCCTGGCCCTCACTCTCACCAATGAGAATCATGCCCTAGCCAGGGCATCCCCCTTTGCTCCCCAATCTGTCCTATTCCCATCCACAGATCTCATGCATGCCAGTGGTTGCTCTGACCTGGTATGGCATAGCCCCTCATCTGTCTTAGCTTTGGTTTTGGATGCTGCAGCCTGGCCTTGCCTAGTCAGTCCCTAGTCCCAGCTCTCACTGGTGGGTGCTGCAACCTGCCCCTGCTCAGTCTGCTCCCATTTCTAGCTCATGTAAACCAGTAAGTGTGATACCCCAAGTCGGCATGCCCTGTGCTGCAGCCTGGTTTCTGCACTTGCCAGTGGGCTAAGGTTTGCTTGGCCTTCCTTTTCTGGTCTACCCCTTCCAAAGCCAACACACACATTTGCCAACGGATGATGCCAACCCCTAGATCTGGACCAGGTGCTCACCAGTGGGAGCTATGGCCTTGTAGGGGATTTTCCCAGGTTCCCCAACTTGGCCCACTCCCATACCCAGATCTCATATGTGCAGCAGGTGCTAGGTCCTTGCCTGGCATAGCCTGCCCCTCCATCTTGGCCTTGTATGAGCTGGAGGATGTTTCGGCCCAGCCCACCCCACACCCTATTTTAGGATGAACATGCAGATGCTGCAGCTTGGACCTGCCCAGCCTATTCTCGGCCCCAGTACCCGTGAGTGTTGCTGGGTTCCATGTTCACTCCTAGTTCAGCCCATCACCACCCCAACTCCTGAGCTAACCAGCAGGACTTGTATTTCCACGGGATTGGGCCCACTTATCCTCCATGTAATTTATCCCTTGACCTGGTTCTCTTGTGTGATGGTTAGTGTCATGGCCCTGCCTAAATTGACCCATCCCCTGTTTTGACAGTCAGGTACTAGGATCTAGCTCTGCTAGACAGGCCTCCAGCCATAGCTTCCATGTGGTATGGCATGTAGTGGTCAGTAATGCTCTGTGCTAACAAGCCCATCTCAGGATTCCCTTGTGGGCTGGTGAATCAAGTCTGACCCATACAGGTCTTCCAATCTCTCCCCTCCAAACCACCAGGTCTCAGCGGCAGAGAGAGGTGTAGCCAGAGACTTTCTTTCTCCTGGTTTGTTTCCCAAATGCCTGGAACAGCTGGGGTTGTGCTACCCAAACCAGAAGCTAAGGGCTTGATCCTGGACTCCGCATCAGTGGCAGGGAACCAAGCACTTGAGCCATCACCTGGTGTTTCCCAGGGTCTGCACTAGCAGGAAGCTGAAAGCATGAGGAGAACTTAGGCATCTGGCACAGGATTTGGGTGACTTGCTCACTGGGCTGACTGCCCACTCCCATGACCCTTTTTTTGTATGAGGGTGTGAGTGTGTCACTAGGGACCCCCTACAGGGTATCCTCTGAGCTGGGCCCTGGGATTATGGGATTATGATGGGATGTAGGAGGCAACCTTCACCTTGTGCCACTTATTACACAAGAGGAATAGCAGGACTGAAACACATCGGAAAAATGATGCAGGAACTTTGTGAGTGCCTGTTGTGGATTGACAGTGATGGTAAAAAACTGTGTGGTCTGCAAGGATCTCTGAGGAAGGATGGAAGCAGAAGCCATCCCAGGATGTGGAGACCTGGGATGCATCTTTGAGAAAGAGAACATGGTAGAGTGTTACTGGCAGAACTAAAAGGGCAAAATTGAGAATGACATGAGTGAGAGTTTGGAGGAAGGAGAGTTTCAGCAAGCTGAACTGATGATTGAAAATGCTAAGCTTTATCATTACAGCTCAGTGGAAAGCACTGAGCAATTCTGTGTGGGACAATGATGGCACCATGGTTTATTTGATTCAGAATGGAAGGGGGGGCAGAAAAGTCCAAAGAGAGAAAGATGCTGGTGGCTTGGAGGAGAGTAATGGTGGTGGAGGCTGAGAGAGCTGGATTCAAGAAGTGCTTGGCAGGTAGACTCTCCATACCTCATGATAGACTTTAGCATGCGAAGGGCAACCTAAGGGACAGCTCCCAAATTTCAAGTTTCTCATAGTTTCTTTCATTCTGTTTATTTGAACTCTGAAAACCTGTGAAAGTGTTCAACTTGATTCTCATTGACCCTGATCAGTCAGGAAGGGAAGCCAGCTGGTGAAGGATCTGGAGAAGCAGGTGAGCCCAGCAGCATAAGGATCAGCCAAGGTGAATTGGAATGTTTTTGAAATAGTTACAACATCATCATCTTCTCTCCTTTCTCCTTGGGAATCAAAACAGGACAACTCACTGTCAGAAAATCCAGGTTTCTTGATTTTGAAGTCAGGAACGAAGTACAGCTCATCATTGTAGCTGAAAGCAGCGGGCAGAGAGCCTACAGCAAAGTCAAAATCTTGATCCAGGATATGAATGATAACCTACCCTGCTTTGGGCAAAGTGTCTACTGGGCATCAGTGTCTGAAGGCCAGAGCCACAAAGCTCACGTCATACAGGTAAAAAAAAAATGTGTTTTTTTGAATATATGTGAGTACCGACCTTCAGTATCATTGAAATGGTAAGGCCTGTGTCCCACACATAATTTAAAATGTCAGTGTTTCCAAGGCATGCTCAGTGCTTGGTGGGTTAGAGCAAGCCAATTCTGAACTGTCTACATTCCCTCTTTATTCACACAGGACTCACATGATGCCTCGGTGATTTCTCTAGGAACCCCATGTGTGTTTTTAGGGAGAAAGCAGGAACACACACCAAAAAATGACTAGCATAAGTTCTGTAATTCAGTGGAGAAGTCAGAAATGTGGGTATATGATGTGAATGCTGCATAATTTGTTTTCTGCCAGAAGTGTGCATTTACTGTCATGAAAGAAAAGAGGAAAAGCAAATTCTTATTGGAGGAGTATAAGGTCTCAGAGAGTGATCTTTTCCCAAGATTTTAAGCAGGAATATGGTCCTTTTGGCCCACAAGTGTATCAAACCCTGGAAAACAGTTGGTCTGACCCTGCCAGACCAAGGCACCTACAGGCAGGGTTGTACCTTTAATAAATTGGGTAGGCCTAGACTGCTTAGTGTGCACTGATTGGAAAGGAAGACACCCAGTATACCATGTGGCAGAGATGTGAAAGGCCGACTCAAGGGCAGAGACAATGAATTTCATTCTTTCCATCTTTAGGTCAAGTATACGAAATCTCAAGAGCTCTGTCAATGCCCCCTTAGAGAAGATCTGGTTTAGTAATTGTAATTTAATGTAAATCAAACACTATAAAAAGCCACATCACAAACTTCACAGGAAAATGTAACTAAAGCATGAGCTTAAATTCAGGCTTCTGAGGGGTCTTCACAAAGCTCATGGAAAGTGTGTTTTATGAAAAACTACATGTGACTTTCAAAAAAATGCAGCAATATAAATGTATCATTCAAATTCATCTTCCACTTTTTATAAGTTATATATTTACTTGAAAGGCAAATGACAGAGAGACAGCATGAGAGATCTTTTATTCACTGGCTCAATCTATAAATAGTTGCAACAGCCAGGTGTGGGACAAGTTGAAGCCAGGAAGCAGAAACTCCATCTGGCCACGGGCATGAGTGTCTGGGGCTGACTAAGGGTTTAACAATCTTCCACTGACTTCCCAGATTCACTAGCAGGGAGCTGAATGAGAAGTGGAGCCACTGGGACTTGAACCAGCACCTTTTTTTTAACATTTAATACCACTTTGAAAACTCATCAAATAAATGATCAGCATCTATATTTGTTATCACCTGAGTCTGAATTTTGTTTTATTTTAAAGTGATCTCTGAAAATTACAACTTAATTCAAAACAAAAACTTCACACATGGTCTATTTTATAGGAAATGTTTTAAGCAGAAAAAAGGGAGTCAATAAAAAATCATTTACTGTGTGAAAATTTTCTAGATTTCTTTCTTTTTCTGCTGGAACGAATCTGTTATACAGTGCTAGAAAAATTCCATTCAGAAAACCAATTTTTTTCAAGTTGTTTTTCCTCTTTTATAAAATTATAGCTCAAACACGCAACTCTTAATGAAAACTATTTGGAAATTGCATGGATAAGAATACAAAGTTCTCCCCCACTTATTCACTTTATTAAAAAGTTAGAAGTAAGCTTCCACAGGGCTTGGTATCCCTTACATGACTTTCTAAATGCATTTGTCAATCTGTAGATATTCTCCATGATGCATTCCTCTGGAAAACAGGTTTAACCAACATTGTAGGTGCGATCTTACCTAGCGAAAGTTGGTTCCTCACAGGTTTTTGCTACTGACCCAGACAGTGGTTTGAATGGTCTCCTTGAGTATTCCGTCATCGCTGGCAACCACGGAGAGGTGTTCTGGATTGATGCACAGCACGGTGTGATAATGACGAATGCAGTTCTGGATTATGAGGCTTGCAGCTCCTACAGGTGTGTCCAGCATTCAGTGTCCTGCTTGGTTTCTGCCAGCATTGGTACTGGGGGCATGGCTTTGTGCTGTGTAAGCTTGATTATAAAACATGTTTTCCCTTTGATCCAACTTAAGATTGTCATTTAGGAATTATTTCATATTGGTGAAAAATGATTAGACTAGAAGAACTTGCATGTCTCTCATTCTAAGGGTTTAAACATGTGTGATGCTCTGAAGTGCCATTTGAGAGGCATGATAAACACAATGGGAGCTGCCTATTGAACTACAGAGCCCCTAGCAAAGGCTTCTTGCTTTTCGGTTTTAAAAACAAATGAAGGCTGAAAGATATTTCTCTTTTTAATTTTAAAAACAAATACCTGCTTACAATGTGTTGTTCCTTTGTTAAAAAGGATTAATCATTTGATTTGAAAGGGAGAGAGAAACTGAGATGATCTACCCATTGTTTACTTTCCAAATGAGACCAGGTTAGTCTGAAACCAGGAGATTGGAACTCCATCTCATTCTCCTATGTGAATATCAGGGGCCTATGTGTTTGGGCCATCATTTGCTGCTTATTCATTAGTAGGAAAATAGGATCAGAAATGGAGCAAGCAGGAGTTGAGCAGATGCCCAGCTGGGATGTTGGCATTGTAAGCAATGGCTTAGTTCTTGGTTGTTAGGGCATTTGCAAAATTCTTGATTCTTAATTTGTATATGAAGACATGAACTTGTTATATGAAGACTTGGAACTTGTTCCGGTTCCAAAAGAGATTATCTTATCCAAAGCAAAGTTCAACATCAACATTTTTCATCTAGAGTCCAAGATAGGCTGGCCTTCTGTGATATCCTATAAAGGAGGGAATATAGTTATTTGGAAATGTCAGTGCTACAAAATGTAGACTTACAGCAGACATGTGTGTAGTATCACAGTCTGTGAAAGCAAAAGCCAGTGAGAAGCCTAGAAGGTCTGTGAGTGGGGACTGCTGGATGACATCAGGCCTGAGCTTTCCATGAAATAACTGGGAGCTGATTTTTTGGAAAGAAGGTGGTGTGAGACATCTGCATGTGTGGGTGAGGAGCTGGAACATCTGGCACTGTGTGAGGGAAACAGCAAGTTGTACAACAGAGCTCTCACAGCATGGCTTTCTGAGGAGCAGCAGGCCCTGAATTTTTGAATAGTTGTGGAAAAAAAAAAAGAAACCGTTAACTGTGTGTGTCTTCAGGGAAGTGGATGAGTAACCTATGGTCAGGCATAACTTTCTCATTGTACATCTCAAATGTGTTCATGTTCGTGTTGGACCTTCGGAGATTTTGTTCTAAAAGCCTCTTCATGTTCTATACAGTGGTGCCTCTTCTCTGTGAGGGGTTTACCCCCAAACCCCAGTGGATGCCTAAAACTGCAGGGAGCACTAAACCCTGAATGTCCTGTGTTCTTTCCACATGCCTTTCAGGATTGCCACGTAGGAGTTCTGCAATGAACTACTATGTTTTATGCCCTTCGCCCTACCTCCTTTGCAACAATATTATTGTGCTTGGGGGCTGTTAGTGTATGAAATAAGGGTTACTTGAACACACACTGATAGCTAAGATGGCCACCATGTAGCTACTGGGAAGGAAGTGTACACAGAATCTATATGTGGGACAAAGAGCCAATTCATGGAATGTGATGGCAAACAATTTAAAATTTGTATTTGTTTTCATTTAATGCTCTGGGAACAGAGTTGATGAAGGGCAGCTGAAATAATGGGAAAGCCAAATCAGCCAAGTGGGAGGTACAATATTTCCTTAACAAATCACAACCACCTCAAGAGGAAGTTCAGATAGGTGTTTTGTTATTTACTGGAAATAAGCAAACAGAGGTTCAGTGATTGGCTCAGGGTCACGGTGATAATTATACTTGGATTGGCATCTGGGCAGTGACACTGTGAGTTGCACAAGCTGCAGAGAAAATATTCCTTTTGGGAAAAAAGGCAGATATACAGAAAGCACACATCAGTGTTGCCTCATGCCAGATGACTTTCATGTTTTATGAGGAAAGTACAATATGTTTATGTGGTTGAACAATGAGAAGGGATTAAAATGGAGTAAGTAACTGGGTGGATTGGATTAATTAACCTCTGAAAACCCTTGCATCTCTAGACATTTGATTAGTTTCTTGTTTAATACAGTTCAAATGATTACTTCAAGAGTACTTTAAAAGTGTAAAACCTCACTCCACATGAATACTGAGGAATTTCTTGTTAATTAATGAGTATGGTCCTTGCATAAATTTTTGGAAATCTATTGCTGCTCCATGGTTTCTATAGTAATTTCCATCTGGCAGCTTCTCTCCCCTCCTAGACAGCTGCAGGTGACCCCAGCCCAGTTAGAGCTGAGTGCTTGCACATCAGAGGCCACTAATGGTCAGCTGGGCCCCTAGAAGGAAGCACTTTCTGCTCCAGTGTTCTTTTTCAATGGGCCCAATTAACAAATCTAACTTCTTTCAACTTTTTCCTATTTGCGTCATAGCCACTGTGTTCCCAACGTTTACAATTGGCCCCAATATTTAAAGGAGCCTTTCTTTAATTTCCCGTAAAGAATTTAATTCAAGGCTTAGAGAAGCAACATTTGAAAGCAGCTCAGTCCTACACACACTGGTGCTAAGAGGGACACACAGATGGTTACTGCATGTGCGTACACACACACACACTATCATACACACGCTCACATGCTCACAATGATCCAGAGGGATGTACAGATAGCCTCGAGTATGCATGCACACACACACACACACACACACACTCTCTCTCTCTCTCTCTCTCATACACACGCTTACATGTGCACACAGAAACTTTGACTCACACACTCACATGCTCACACTGGTCCAGAGGGATGTACAGATGGCCTCGTGCATGCATACACACACACACAGACGGTATCATACACATGCTCACACATACACACAGACGCTTTGACGCACGTGCACACACAGTCTGCATCACCATCCAGGTTGTGAATATTTTAAACATCCTGCTATCTGGCCTTTCCCTTCGCTCACTCTGATCCCTTTCCCACCTGTTGTTTCTGTTGCTCCTTAGTGCCTCCTTAATATTTATTTATTATTTTAAATTTATTTTTATAGAGATTTATTTTATTTTATTGGAAAGTTAGATATACAGAGAGGAGGAGAGACAGAGAGGAAGATTTTCCATCTGTGGATTTACTCCCCAAGTGGCCAAAGCAGCTGCACCAATCTGAAGCAAGGAGCCTGGAGCCTCTTCTGCATCTCCCACGTGGGTACAGGGTCCCAAGGCTTAGGGCCACCCTCTGCTGCTTTCCCAGACCATGAGAAGGGAGCTGGATGGGAAGCAGGGCCTGTTTGAATTAGAACCAGCAACCATATGGGATCCCAGCGTCACTGGGATACCGTGTCAGGCCCTATTTTTCATTTATTTTTAAAAAATATATTTTCTTTTTAATATTGTTTACATAGTTGAGAGGGATGTACACCCATGTGGACCTCTGATTAGGGTGGACCAAGGTTGGTGGGATGTTTCAGGTTTTTTTTTTCTCCTGTGCCTTTGGGGGAGGACAGGAAAGGAGCCACTCTTTGCTGTCAAACTATGTCAGCACCAGGGATAGGGGATGGTTATTCAAAGGTGTCTTAGAGACCCCAATGTGGGGAAGAGTGTTCTGAAGATATTAGTTGGGTGACTTTGATGGTTCTGAGAAGTTGTCAGTTTTATTGTTCCAGGGTTGAGAAAATCTTCACAGGGTCTACTAGTTGACAAAGTCCACCTTAGTGCATCCACAGACCCAAGAACATGTTGGAAAACTTAGCCAGGAGAATTGTCCAACCTGCTCCGTTTTCCATCCTATGAGGAGGCAGTCAGTGTCCTTTGTTGGCCTAGATATGTACTCTGTGTGCATCTGGGATGCTGTCTATTGCAAACACATCAGCTTCTGACTGACCCAGTCCTGACACATGCTCTCCAAGATCTGACCAAACATCCTGTGATTTTGTTTTTCCTCTGTGACCATGGTCTGAGTTCAGTTGTCTAGTTGGGGAGTCCCAGCTGGAGTCCCAGCTAGAGTCCCAGTGGAAGCAGCAGCCCAACAAGTTAGTGCCTGACGTTTCCTACCAGGCCAACAACTTCTCATTAACCATCAAAGCCACACTCTGGGCAAGGTTAACAAAGCAGTAGGAAAACAACACTGCTATTCCTCAGGAGTATACAAAAAGGCTATAAACAATCATCAATTCCCAGGAAGTCACTCTCACTTATATATTATATTTTTATACTCTGTTAGTTATTACATATACAAAATTTTATTTCTTCCTAATTGGAAGAAACATTCTAAACCAACAGTGGATTAGGACAACTTCTACCCCACATCCTTGCCAGCACTCACTGCTTTGTTTTGTTTTGTTTATGATAGTCATTCTCAGTGGGGTAAAATGGACCCTCATTGTGGTTTTTATTGCATTTGCCTGATGGCTGCTACTGATCAGAGAATCTTGCATATGTTATTAGACATTTGAATCTAATCATTTGAAAAATGTGTGCGCCCATTGCCCCTTTCCTTTTTTTGTTGTTATTTAAGATTTATTTATTTTATTGGAAAGGCAGTTTTACAGAGAGCAGGATAGACAGAGAGGAATATCTTCCATTTGCTGACTGATTCCCTAAGTGGCCACAATGGCTGGAGCTGAGCCAATCCGAAGCCAGGAACCAGGAGCTTCCTCCAAGTCTCCCATTTAGGTGCAGGGTCCCAAGGCCTTGAGTCACCCTTTACTGCTCTCCCAGACCACAAGCAGGGAGCTGGATGGTCATCTATGTGTCCCTCTGGACCAGCGCCCATACTGAATCCTGCCGTGTGCAAAGCAAGGATTTAGTCACTGAACCATTGTGCTGGACCTTTGCCTATTTCTAGCTGGATTGTTTTGCTGTTGAGTTTTTCATCTCTTTCTAAATCTTGGATATTAATTCTCTATCAGTTGCTTGGTTTACAAATATTTTCTCCCATTCTGTCAGCTGTC